GTTATAGTTTCCCTGTGAATTAGCAACAGGTATATACATGTTTCTAGAGACAGTTATAATACATATATTACAACTGTCTTTTATATTCCCCCTTTATTTTAATTTTTGTACACACTCCTTTTTACTCATGAACTGAGCTCTGAAGAGTGAGGTGTGATAACTGGTTAGCTATTTTTTTATATATATTTTTATACTTTTTTATGATTTAAATCTTTAAAGTAATTATAAAATTTTTGTTTTTCTTTGCTTGTCATTTCTTTTTGTTTTTATTATGTCCATTTTGTGTTGTAAATAAAATGTGAATTATCTGAACTTCTTAGACGAAAACCTTTTGTTACTAATTTTTAGTAGTTTCAGTTCGAAACTCCAATCACCTGAAGAAGGCCGGAGTGTACAACGACTGAAACATTGTGAATATAATAACAAAGATGAGGATAATAAATATTAGTTTCCCGTTTTGCTTTTGTTGTTACTTTTTATTGCAAAACTTTCATTATTTTTGTCATTTTGGAAATAAATGAATGATTTCTGATGTTATTTGAACTTGTGTCTTTTATCTGTATGAATTTGTTATGTTTGTGAAGAAGAACTTTAAAAAATTGCAAAAATAAAGATTTGGTAAAATGAACAAATCGGACAGATTTGAATTATAGCAGACACATTATTAGAACATATTCTATGAATTAATCAGTTTCAGACAAAATAAAACCTCTTTTTATTAAAAATTATTAATACGATATAATAATATATCTACTGAATGGATACCAACTTACATTAAAATTTAATTAACTTATAATTTACAGAGAAAGATGAAATTTTCACAGCATTTAAAACATATATCAAATCTGCAAAGTTTCAGTTTTCTGGCCTTTCAGCTATTAGAAATTTTGATAGAATTCTATACCATTTCAAATTCAATTTGGGACTAATCAAGTTCATAATGAAATAGCCAAGTTGAAAATGGAATAGTGAAATTCAAAATGAGACATAGCAAATTCCAAATGGTATAGTTAAATTCAAAATGGGATGTAGCAAAATCAAAATGGAATAGTCAAATTTAAATTGGGACATAGCAAATTCAAAATGAAATAGTCAAATTCAAAATTCAAAATGGAATAAGCAAATTTGATTTGGGACTTACAAAGTTCAAAATGGATTTGGCAAATTCAATTTGGGACTGAGCAATTATTTTGATAAAAAACACTTTAAAATTAAATATTTTCATGATAAAATAATAATGTTCAACTAAAATTTACTATTGAAATGTTTTATCTTCTAGGAGCAATCAATAAATCAAGAAAATCCATGAAAAATGTATGTTTTTTGGATGCAACTTTCAGCATTTAAAATCTCTCACTCTACCTATCTTTTTTTTCAAACTCTGTCTTGATATATGCATTCAATATTTCCTTGCTGTTTTTTCTTAGGACTTTCAAGATTTGCCCTGTTGTCCCCCAAATCCTTTCATTTTGAATAACTCTCTCTTATTCTCTCTTTTTTAACACTATATACAGTCTATCTATCTATCTCTTTCTTCTTGCCTTCTCCCTGTTTGTCTTACCAATGAAAGGGCCAGAAACTCTAACTTTGACACAAATTTATCTGTTCAAGAATAACCTCTTGTAAGGAATTGATAGTAAAATCTATTCAATGCTGTGCACTGATTCTTAATTATCTGATTTACCGCCCAGTTGATTTTTTAATCCATGGCATTTGTTTATTGAAATGTGCAGATAAGTTCAAAACATTTTTCCATAATGAATCTGCTTAGTCTCAATTCAAACTAGCTTATTTCATTATGAATTTGCTTTGTTTCAAATCAAACTTGCTTATTTCATTTTGAATTTGCTGTGTCCTATTTTGAACTTGACTATTTCATTATGAACTTGCTTAGTCCCAAAATGACTTTGATTAGTCTCAAATTGAACTTGAAATGGTATACAATAGGCATTGCAACCAGAAATAATGACTTTCTTAAAAGTTTTTTTTCATATTTCTATAGATTAATATATTAGATATTAATATATCACTATAGATTAAGCACCCCATATCAGGAATATCTAAAAAAAATTTATAAAAGTTTGCCATGTAAATTCATTGTAAATTGATACCTCCTATGGAAGTCAAAACAATGTGATTTCTTAAAATTTAAAAAAAAAAAAAAATATATATATATAAAAATTATATGTAAAATATATATATATATATATATATATATATATATATATATATATATATATATGTAAAAAATTTCAGATGGAGTATATATGTAGAAGGACAATATCTTAAAAGACAAAAGGAAAACTTATCTTAACCATTGCATTTCATACTCTGAGGGGCTTTGTTAAGGCAAATGTAAATTGGGGAATTATCAGATTTGATTGAAATTTTCAGTATTTATTCATTAATAGAAGAACTATATCTTAAATCTTTTATTTTTTTAAAGTTTTGTTGAAATACAGTGTAACCCGGATATAAGAGAGTTGTCAGGACCGGAGAAGTCTCTTATATCCGGGTTTGGTCTGTTTTATATACATTAACACAGGCTCTAATTTGGGACCAGAGAAAATCTCTCTTATATCCGGGTTTCTCTTATATCCGGGTTTGGTCTGTTTTATATACATTAACACAGGCTCTAATTTGGGACCAGAGAAAAAATATCCGGGTTTCTCTTATATCCGGGTTTAGTCTGTTTTATATACATTAACACAGGCTCTAATTTGGGACCAGAGAAAATCTCTCTTATATCCGGGTTTCTCTTATATCCGGGTCTCTTATATCCGGGTTACACTGTATATCTTTTTTTTCAAGTCAGTCATACTTTAGGTCAGTTTAACTCATTGCAAATTTTGGATGTTTCTAATTTTTATATTTTTATAAAGCTAAACCCCCACAAAGATGTTATATCATTAAAAGAAAAAAAAAAGAAAATATAATAGACATGTCCATTTGTAAAAACATAGGGAAAATCTTTTGGGGGTAATAATTTTTGTAGATTCGCATTCCTTAGACCTTCAAGCAATGACATTTGACAGAATTGAAAATCGATTTAGAGGGTTTTTTTTTAATCAATACATCCAAAAGGGTTCTGTTGACTTTTTTGGGGTTATTATGAAATCAAGTTTGAAACTGGATGATGATATGATATTCTTATTTTATTCCTTTTTTATTAATTTTCTGAATTTTTAAAACTTTTTATTTTAACTTTTTAAAAAAAAAAAAATATTTTTTTGGAAGTTTGAAACAAGTTTGAAACTGGATATATCATTGATATCAGCATATTCTTATTTTATTCCTTTTATTAATTTTTCTGAATTTTTTAAAACTTTTATTTTAACTTTTTTAAAAAAAATATTTTTTTGGAGGGGGGGGTTATTATTTGTGAATGTCAAGTTTGAAACTGGATATATCATTGATATCAGCATATTCTTATTTTATTCCTTTTATTAATTTTTCTGAATTTTTTAAAACTTTTATTTTAACTTTTTTTAAAAAAATATTTTGGGGGGGGATTTTTTTTTTGGAAGCCTATGCACAAACATTGGGGGATAATAATTATCTATCTTAAATGAAGAATAAATTGATATATATTTTTATTAATGTTTGTAGCCTTTCTGTAAACGTCAAAATTGAGTTTGTTATTATTTTTGTGTAACATGATATCTAGGAAGGGAAGAGTGTAGTTAGTTTCAGTTTCAAAAGTGATCCATTCAAAAACCATCTCCCTCCAAACTCTTCCTATTTCAGATACAGACAATTCACTACTAATATATCCACAAAATACTAATTTAATAGATCTTCTCAACCAACTTAACAATGTTGAACCTACAATAGACTTCACTTGTGAAACTGAAACCAACTAAACTTTTATTAATCTATCTAAAATTTAGTTCTTTAATTATAACTGTTCTGATGAACTTTCCTCTATGGTACCTAGACTTTATAAATTTAAGTGCAGTACTAGATTAGTAACTAGGTTTCACCTATTTACTATTGAATTGGCTAGATGAAACAGTAAGTTCTATGCTAAAAGTGTGTTTTCTTACACTTCTCACTTGTGGAAATCTCTTCTAACTCTTAGCTTTCCAGCCAACTTTGATCTTCAAAAATTTAAATGCAATTTCAATCATTATCTACTGTCTTCTTGATTACTCTTCTTTTATTGTTCCTGCTCCTTAATAATGTTTTATATTGTCTCATTCTTTCACACTCAATAACCCCTTGTGTCTTAGTGGCTTTAGTGCTTTGCTTGAGGTGAAATGATTAAAAAAAAGACCATGTATTTTTTTAGCAAATTTTAATAAATTTTCATTTTTATGTTTAAAAAAAAGTTTTTAATAAAAATGCATTAGTATGTTTATATATACAATTCACAGAAAATATTTAAGCTTAGCCACTTATAATCAGCTGATAATTTATCTTATGAGAAATATGTCTTGTAGTGTATGTATATATAGAAATCGTTTTGTAAAAGAAAAATGTCTGTTTTTGTATGTTGAACTAAGTCTAATAACTCTGTAAAATGATTGATTTGACACTGTATTGATATTAAGGACATGATTCTTTTCTAAAAATGATTAAAAAAAAATCAATATTTTTTTATTCTGACAAGTGTTGCAGCCTAAAAAAGATCTAAGAAACACTAGTCTATAAAAATTTATTTCCCCACTAAAGTACATGAAAGTTTTGAAAATTTCAAAACTAGGTTAAGTATTGCCATAAATTCAAATCATGATAACCTTTTTTCTGTCTCATATCTTTCCAATTATGTAACTTTGTTTAGTACAATTGTATCATGGTTATCTTACTGAATAAGGTTCATGTAGTACTAAATTTCAATTCCTTTTTACATAAAGATTTTCTTTTGAGTTTAGGTATAGCAAAAGGTCTATCCTTCTAAAAAAGTTCTGGACAAAGAACAATATTTTCTCTCCCACATTCCCCAGAAGATCCTGTGGCAAAAAGGCAGTAGGGAGGAGGAGTGCAGGGATAAGACTTACTGCATCATAATACGGTGTTGTTCCCACCTGCTTGGCATCAAACATTTTTCGTTTTAAATTGTCCAATTGTTCTTGGATTTTATTAGCTTTATCTCTGTAATCATAGTTAGTAGCAACTTGCCAAGTGTAAATGTCAAAGTTTAATATTTGAACCTGTAAAAATACAAAGGCAAAGAGAAGGCAGAACATTAGAATAGAGTAACATATAAGAATTAAAATAGCATTCAGATTAAACAGGAACAATAATTAGAATAGCATATTTGAATAGTGGAATAAACTAGAATGAGAATTGGAATAATACATTACATGAGAAGAAGAATGAGAATATATTAGAATAAACAAATAATTAAAATAGTACATTTTAATAAGGGAATAAGAAATAGAATTAGAACTGCATGTTAGGGAATTAAAGAATGAGAATTGCATGTTAGAGAATTGTTTCAATAAATTTTCCTTGATTTTTATTGAACAAGGTAACTAATAAAGACATAGAATTGAAATGTGTTTTGAAAAAGGAGGAGGACATTTTGAACAGCACATATAACAATTAAATAACTAGTAAATAAGATATTTTCATGTGTAATTAAAGAATGAGAATTAAAATAATTCATTATATGAGAAGAATAGACAAGAAGGAGAATAGAATATTAGAATAAGGGAATGAACAAATAATTAAAATAATACATTTCAATAAGAGAAAAGGAAAGAGATTTAGAATTGTATGTTAGACTAGGGAATAAATTAGGATGAAATTTAGAATATCTCATTAGAAATGGAGAATAAGAAAGAATTAGAATAATACATTAGAAAATGGGGATAAACAAGAATAAACATAGAATAGCACTTTAGAATAGATGAATAAACAAGAATGGAATTATAATAGTATATCACACAAGGTGAATAAACAAGAATGTATATTAAAAATAACACATCAGAATAGGAGAATAAATAATGAGAATTGGAATAGTACATCATACAAGGGGAATAGAAAAGAATGGGTATAAAAAATAACACATTAGAACAGGGGAATAAACAGAATTAGAATAGCACATTAGAATTAGGAAAAAACAAGAATTATTAAAATAATACATTTTAATAAGGGTATAGCAAAGAGAATAAACAGACAAATATTTTTATTATATAGAAGATTAATAAAACATTTATAAATTTATGAAATTGCCCTTCCTCTTTACTCACAAAAATGAAATTTTGGCAAAGTTTAACTTTTGTGCCTTTAATAAAACAGTGACAAAAGTATGTTTTTTTCCTTGACACTTATTATTTTAACTATCACCATTCCTTTGAAAATATTTGTTGTTTTAGTTTTAAGAAGTGATGACTACAATTTTAATAAAATTCAAACATATGAAAGTGAATTTATACATTTTCTTTGCTCTTTGAGAATTTACAACAAAAATATAAAGCACTATTTATTTATTTATTAGATTGTTTATTTACAAGAATAATTTTATGTTTACAAAATCCTAAAAATGCAAACCAACTATTACAAGATAATGTTTATCATTCATCAATTAATAAAGAAATAAATATGAAGAAAATTTTTTTATTCATGACTTTATAAAAGTTTACTAAATCATAAAAATATTCACTCTCTCGGCAATGTTTAGTGATTATAATTCATAATCAAACACAAACATATGGAAGTGGATTTATACATTTGATAATATTAAATTTTTGAATAAAAAAATTTCCTTACACATTTATTTCTTTATAAAATGGTAAATAATAAATCTTTATAAAAGGTAAATAGTAAATATCACATTGTACTTGGTTCACATATTTTTAGAATGTTGTAAATAAACATTGCTGAGTGAGTGAAGGTAGTACAAAATAATAGTGGTGTCAAGGGAAAAGCCATCTATTTGACACACCATTTTTTTGCATGTACATAGGTTAAACATTGCTCAATTTTTTTTTTCATTTTTGCATCAAAATATTCTTACCAGTTCAGTAAATTCTTCTAACTGCATTTCCTTATGTGTCTTTAAGAACATAAGTTGTTCGAAGAAGGTTCGTGCTTTCCATGTGCGGTAATATGTCTGTAAAATAATTGCCGCTTTCATTTCCCGGATTGCAGCTGCATCCATGAGTTTTTTTGATGATTTAGTCAACATATAATTTCGGTAGGCTGTTAATAATAAAACAAGATTTTAATTTAAAACCAAAACAAGATTTTAATTTAAAATATAGTAATAAAAATTTCTTCAAATGACTACTAATTGGATTAAAATACTATTAGGTTGATGTAAAGTTAATAGCATTTTCATTTGACAAAAGTATTTATTCATATGCAATCATAAGATCAGTATTTAATCATTAAGGTATTGATTTCCCCTGCCCTTTTATGACCTAATACCATCTTTAAGATAAATTGGGAAATTTTATAAATAATTCTCATTTTGATTCAAGAAACTATTTGAAAAGATTTTTCAATATTTTCAATTTATTGGAAGCACTGAGCTGTGTAATGATCTGGTGAATATGTAACATAATAATTAGAGTAAATAATATGCCACATGTTGAGGAACTTCCCATCTCAGCCTCATGTTCATTTGCTGCATTTACCACATGAGGATAGACATTAAACTTTAAATATGCTTCAAAGATTTCCTCATGGGAAAAAGCTGGTACTAGAAAATTTAGATTCAGTTTTATACAAATATATTTTCTGCCAATAGAAAAAATGCATTCAATTAGACATCAAATTTATAGAAATGGTGATAACAATAACAATAATAATAATAAGGCTGTCATGACATTGATATTTGAAATAAAAGAATATGAAAAAAGATTTTGTACAGCAATAAAGTATGTTCTCTAGCTAATGTCATATAATGTCTACTAATGTTATACAATGTTCATTAGATAATGTCATAAAATTCTGTTTAAATAATATCATGAAATATTCATTACCTGATGTCATAAAATGTCCACTAGTTAATGTCAAATAATTAATGTCCATTATCTAATGACATATAATGCTCATTAGCTAATGTGATAAACTCTTCCCCAGCTAATATCATAATATCATGAAATTTCCACTATCTAATGTCATAAAATCTTCATTAATCTCATAAAATGTCCACTAGTTAATGTCATATGTCCACTAATTGAATATAATGTTCATTAGTTAATGTCATAAAATTTTCACTAGCTAATGTTATAAATTGTTCCTTAGCTAATGTGATAATATAAAATTTCCACAAGCTAATGTCATATGTCCACTAGTCATTTATATAATGTTCATTAGTTAATATCATAAAGTTTTCACTAGCTGATGTCATAAATTCTTTCTTAGCTAATGAAATATTGTCATTAAATATCCACAAGCTATTGTCATAAAATGTCCACAAGTTAATGTCATATAATGTTCATTAGATAATTTCATAAAATGATCCCCAGCTAATGTCATAATATAAAATGTTCCCTAGCTAATGCCATAAAATGTTTCCAAGTTAAAGTCATAATGTCATAAAATATCCACTAGCTAATGTCATGAAATTCCTACTAGCTAAAGTCAAAAAATGTACAATGTTTCATTGACTACTATTATAACATATATATATCAATTGTATTAAAGTAAATTTGATGAAGGAAACTTAAAAAAAGACTAATGATCATTCTAAAATAATCCCCCCCCCCAACAGTGTTGAGTGAACTTGTTAATCCGCTTATATTTGTTATTGTCATAGAATTGTAAGAGGAATTTTGTTGGGTTCAACATGGTTTTAAAAAGTGAAAATTATGGACTGCACATTCAAAAAACACAAGCCAGTGATCAGTTGAACAAAGATGATATATGCACATTATTCATTTGACATAAATATATGTTATGATTAGATGGCTTGATCGATGAAATGTCTAGAAACATTCTTTCCATGCAGTTGGAAATTGTCAGACTATGAAATAAAAAAAAAGAGTTTGTCTTTTATTTGACTCAAATATTTACAAAATAAGAAACTTCATCTCTTGCATGAGCTTTATTTCTCTTGATTTTGTATTGTAGATCAGAATAAAGTGAGAAACCTCAAATCATAACAAAGATGATTTTCTTTTTTTAATCATTTCACCTCCAAGCAAGGCAATAAAGCCACTAAAATGTAAGGAGTTACTGAGAGTGAAGCAAACTGAGAAATTGTAAAAAGAATACGATTCAAGGAGACATAAGATGAGGTATGTTGCATTTAAATTTTTATATGTTGTAGTTCACAGGAAACTGGAAGAAAGTTCTACAGGTGAGATGCATGAGAAAAAGAAAAATATAAGAATAGAACTTACAGTTACATTTATCGATTTCAATAGTAAAATGTATGTGGCCAATCTAGTACTACCCTTAAATTCATGAAGTTGAGGTACCAAAGAAAAAAGTTCATCAAAACAATTGTCATGAAAATATTTGTAGAAATGACATATATAGGAGCAGAAGACCCACCAGGATGCTCCTGTTAACACGATAAGACCAGATACAGCAATTCACTTGTGATCATGACATTGCATATTGGACTTTGGAGAACTGATATGAAGCATGGTTTGATGAGTGATAGTTCCATGAAAACTACAAGAGATACAGAATGTACAAAAACATTGTTGGATGGGGTAAATTTTTCTAGGAAAATTTCTCAGACATTCAGGCAGGTAAATGTTATTTAATACTGTTTATTATAAACAGAGCATTTACTTAAATACTTGTATCTATAAAAAGAATGTTAAACATAGAGTAAATATTGCAATTGAGTTGTATTTTCTATATTTAGATAAGAAGATCATTGGTCAGGAAAGATTACATGCTGATATCAAGTATTTTATTAGTATTATTATTATAAAATAAAATGTAACTAGAGTAAAGAAAAATTAATCAGTGCATATCTTATGCCATATTTTGCTGCTTCTAAAATGCTATGAGGCATTAGATACCCACCCAAAATTTTGAAGGAAGAAATCAGAAAAAATGTTTTTTCCTTGTATTTCATCCCCACCCGCATTATTCCCAATTTTACCCACTGAATAGCATATTTCAGCATGAACACCTGACTAATCATGACAAATTCATCCTGAAAAGAAGTACCAAATTTATGGTAACTATTTACAATTTAATAATTAGAAGAAAACTTAAAGTCACTAAGTCACTGAAACCTTAATTTAGAGTGCATAATATCACAGAAACCTAACCTTATTGCAACCTGAAAGCCTCAATAATTGTGACAAATGCATCACAAACCAGGATGACGCTTAATTTTAAAATGTTAATTTAGAGTGCATAATATCACAGAAACCTAACCTTATTGCAACCTGAAAGCCTCAATAATTGTGACAAATGCATCACAAACCAGGATGACGCTTAATTTTAAAATGTTAATTTAGAACTCAACCTTTATGCAAGACAAATGCATAATAGGATCACAGAAACCTAACCTTATTGCAACCTGAAAGCATCACAAACCAGGATCAATTTTAAAATGTTAATTTAGACAAAATGCATCACAAACCAGGATGACGCTTAATTTCACAAACCAGGATGGCCTTAAAAAATGTTAATTTAGAGTGCAAATGCATCAAACCAGGAAATTTTTAAAACCTTATTGCATAAACCTGAAAACCTAAATTGCAACCTGAAAGCCTCAATAATTGTGACAAATGCATCACAAACCAGGATGACGCTTTTAATTTTAAAATGTTAATTTAGAGTGCATAATATCACAGAAACCTAACCTTATTGCTGAAACCTGATCACAAAAAGCCTCAATTTTAAAATGTTAATTTTGCATAATATGACAAATGCATCAATAATTGTGACAAACAAACCAGGATGACGCTTAATTTTAAAATGTTAATTTAGAGTGTATAATATCACAGAAACCTAACCTTATTGCAACCTGAAAGCCTCAATAATTGTGACAAATGCATCACAAACCAGGATGATGCTTAATTTTAAAATGTTAATTTAATTTTGAAACACTGAACATGTTTTGAGCTGAAAAGCTCAGAATCAGATGTAACTGGGAAGCTGACAATCACCTGAAACCTCAACCTTATAACTCTCATTACCGACCTTCCATTTATAAGATGCAGAGTGGTTTTTGGACATATTTTATAGGGAAAAAAAAAGTATGACTGATAAGCAGCAAAATATAGTAAGCATTTTTTAAGACATGAAAAACAGTTATTATTTACATCGCTGAATAGTAATGGCTGCATGTTCTTCTTCACTTAGCTGGGATCCTCTCCTTTTCCTCTTCTCTTTTTTCTTCTTGTCCTTCTTCCTTTGTCTGTAACCTCGGAATTGCTTCTGTACTTTAACAGCTGCATGTTCTAGTTCTTCTTTCTCTTTTTGTTTTTCTTTAAACACTTTTCTATCCTTATGACCACGATATGCTGCACAAATATACAAAAAAGTAATATGTTTCAAAAGAGTGCTGAAAAGTCATTGTTCATTCTTTTAAGCCCTTCCCCACAAAATATTTGGGCAATTGGTCAGATTTTAGGACATGGGTGGCACTGAAAAGGTTTCAGCACCCTTTTAACTTATAATAGGCATGTAATGAGGTAGAGCCAAGGAAGAAAGATTTATTCTCCCATCTGTATTTCCCTCATTATAGACATTATTATATCCATGATATAATAGCACTAATATTTCATGGACAGAACAGCTGAAAGGAAAAGGAATGACAAACATGCTTTGTTATCAGGGAGACTTTTATATTACTAAGATGTACACAAAACTATATATACATGTGTTCCACACAGATAATAATATATCACATATATCTATACAGCAAAGCAGAGTAAGGAGAAACAAAAAGGAAGGGTCCTATATATAATATGGAGATACTCCTGTACCTGGAGAAGCCATTTTTAGGATTCCAGATTCAAATGAGCCGATTCATCTATGTCCCAATCAAAGACATATTCCACAAATAGGAAATAACATCTTGGATTTTCCCAAATTGAAGACTGCGAGTTGGAGTTTGATTCTATATCTGGGGAAGATATATTCCCAAAGAGAAATGACACCATAGACTTGTAAGCTGCTGTTGAGGCAGACTGAGCCTCTGCCCAGGTCATGGGCTGTTTGAGGTAATGAAAGCAACCTTACTGTTTGGTTGTTGTAAACAAACTGAAATTGACTGGCACTTTCATCACTGTATGTAGTGATGTAATTAAGTGGCCGTCACATAACCCATTTGACTTATTTCCACCAAAGGGAGATAAACGCCTTCTATAACCTTACAGGCATATACATCATAATACATAAAAATATAAATATAACATTCAGAAATACAATAGTAAAAGTAATATGGAATAAGATTGGATTGTGAATATAAAACAATTAATTTTAGAAATTACTTTGTTTTCAAAAAAACAAAGTTAGAATATATATATATATATATATATATATATATATATATATATATATATATATATATATATTTTGAAAAACAGACCACTTTAAGGTTCCATTATAATAAATTATTTCACCAGAGCCCTTTTAAAAGGACTCTGGATCATCAGATAACACTTCAAAAGGGCTCTTGTGAAATAATTTATTATAATAGAACCTAAAAGTGGTCTGTTTTTTCAAAATATTAGCTCTGGATTTACATCGAGCTCTCAGGATTTCATCCTCCTTGGGACTACCCATGGATTACCAAGTTTTCACAACTTGAATATATATATATATATATATATATATATATATATATATATATATATAATTGTTGTGCATTTGGGCCATAATCCTTAATTTATACAAGTTTAATTAAAAATGGCTGACAAGGTACTGCAGTTATTTTTTTTATTTAATTTTTCATCTGTTCTTATAATTTTCTTCTTTTCTGGGCATACATTATCTAGAAATTGTCCAGATGTTTTGTACATCTGAGCGCTTTCCGCTATACCTTTAACCCTTATCAAAGATGAATTTTCTTTTTTCTTTTAAGTGAATATTATGGATTGTTTTATATATGTATCTCGAGTTATATGAATGTTTTATTTTCCAAACACAGTCATCACATTGAGACTATGTCCATAGTTGATATTATTATACACACAAAACATTTGGATGATTTCTAGATAATGTACATCCAGAAAAGAAGAACATTTTAAGAGCACATGAAAAAGTAAATAAAAAACTGAACAACAGTAACTTGTCAGTCATTTGTAATGAAACTTACACATATATATATATATATATATATATATATATATATATATATATATATATATATGTGTGTGTGTGTGTGTGTGTGTGTGTGTGTGTGTATGTATGTATGTGTGTGTGTGTTTTTTACAGAGGATGGAAAATGTGACACTAAAATTCAAAGGTGCACTGGAATAACAAAAGATGCCTTCCAAAAGATAAGCAAAATATTACGAAATGGGAAAATTTTTTAAGAACAAAGAAAAGTGGGCTGAACTGTTATGCTATGCTATATCAGTTTTCCTATATAGCAGTGAATGCTGGACAATTTTCTAACAGACGAAGAAAGTTTTGGCACACTTAGAATAAAATACTTAGTTAAAATTTCTAGGGTACATAATGAGGAAAGTGGTCTTGGAAAATCTGATACTCACAGGGCATCGAAGCAGAGAAAAGCAGCAAATAACCTGCCTAATGAGTGGGGTTAGGACAGATAGCAAGAAGGTAAACTTTACTAAGAGCTACAAAGAATAGAATGTTGTGGAGAGCCATGATTGCCCATTTCCTGAAGAGACACAGTACTTAGAAGAAAAGGTAGATAAATTTTAAAACCTTTAATAATAGCTGGTCACTCGTATTCAGAGATACCCATCTATTATGGTGGCTAGCCAATCCCTATTGCAGACTTTCACTCAGGCACATTTGTGTTTTAAAACCTTTTAAAAGCATTTTTCTAGGTTTTGCAAATATCAATATACATAAATGTGATACTCAGGGTGCTATCTCCTTAAGTTCATCTGGTGTCTGAGACATCTTCAAAGGGGAAATGCCAAGAGGGCTTGAACAATCTTTTAATCCTTTGCTTATGTATACATAGGCCTACACTATAAAATTGACCATATGTCACATTTTGACAAATAAATACAAAACTTTCATTTATTATTAATGTCTTCAGCTATAGGGGCTTCTCCTCAAGTACCACTCCTCACAAGGAGAGCTAAGGGTAATCCCTGGTATCTGAGGTGTGCCCAAAAGGGAAAATGCTGAGAGAACTCAAGAAGTTTTTACCTCTAATTCCTTGTACACATAGGACTCCCACTCTAAACTTGGCCTTGTGTCATATTCTGTTCGAACAGGCATGTGGGGCTGAATTTATTTGATGTCACAGATTGTTATATAATTTGGGCATGCACATGGACAGACAATCAATTTTTATATATTTAATTAATTTTTAGAGTTTTGAGCAGGGACACACACACCATACGTGCATGTGCATATGCACAAACACACACAAATCTTTGAGTTTTATATATTCTTTTTTGCTCAGTGGCCTTTCAGGATGTGCACAATCACAGCTCTCCACAACTTCCCATCCTTCTTAACTCTTACCAATGTTTGTCTTCTTACTATCTCTTCCTGTTCTGCCAGCTATTTATATAATCTCATTAGATAGGTCACTACTTTCCTCTGTCCCTCTTCAGTATGTTCAGTGAGTGTTAACTTTTCTAGGCCTTCTTTTCTCATTATGTGCCCTAGATATTTCATCTGTTTCTTTTGGATTTCATGTATAATTGTGCTTTTCATTTTCTTTAAAACATCCTTGTTGCTTACATACACCATCCATGTTATTCTCAGCATCCTTCTGCAGAACCACATCACTACAAGTCTCCTATTCACTGTGAATAAATTGTCCAGGATTCATATATATTCCATATAATAATATGGAATATATATGATAATATGGAATATATATGAATCCTGGACAATTTATAATTTATTTGAATATAATAATAGCTGGCCACTCATATTCACAGATACCCATCTACTAGGGTGGTTAGCCAATCCCTATTGCAGACTTTCACTCAGGCACATTTGTGTTTGTTCAACACCCACAGAGCCATCCTGTGGTTTATACTGCAAATATACTGAGCAGACCTTAGTTACAGTTACTGGGAGAGAGCATGTTATCTAGAATGATCAACAATCTGAACAACACCAGCACACTCAAACCCTTGGTCATGATGACTTGTGACTTCCAAATGTGCCACACACTAGGATTGTCCCTATTCTAGACCAATAACATCAGGAAGTCTCTTTCCTGACAAATCAACCATGGTGAGATTTGAACTCGGGTCTCATGGTCAGAAAACAAATGTTCTAACCAATTGGCCACGTGCCCATACATATATATATTCCATATAGAAGGATTGATATTAGCAGTTTTGAACTCTTTCCTTAGTTTCTGCTGAAACTTTACTGTTTTTTAATACTTTGTTTTGTTTTCAGAATCCATCTTTTGTTATTCTAATACACCTTTAAATTTTGGTGTCACATTTTCCATTAATTGTTGAAACACTTGTAGAAGATATTAAAAAAAAAAGAAAACAAATGCTTACTCTTCTGAATTTTCAGTGCTTTTTCTTGTAAGACTTGCCTCTCTCTAATGACTTCACATTGTCTGACCAATTCATCTACGTGATAGTAACGAAGAAACACCTATTGAAAAAAAAAAGACAATAGTTATATTAAATACATATATAAGTGAATAAACACAAAAGAAAAATTGAAATGATTTTCAGTTTCAGTAATTTTTGTTATTTATCAGTTACATTCATTTTTTTTTTCAGATCAATAAACTTTTGGTTGCTTTCTCATTGTTACAATATTTTGACTGATCTGTTTTGCAGTTGTTTTCAGGTGTAAAATACATCAAGAAAGAGAAGGGGGGGGTCTCTTTTTCTAGAAAAATCCAAAGAATTCACAATGTTACTGATCTTGACCCGGCATCTCAATTTCAGTCATTTTCCCACCACCATAATGTAGCTTCTCTGTGCCTTTTCTATAAATACTTTCATGATACAAACAAAGAAATCATTACTTTTTTCGCCAAGGAATGAAGGTAGTTAAAATAATAGCAGTGTCAATGGAAAAAACGTCCTTTTGACACTCTGTTTTTTTGTGGGTACAAAGGTCCAAGTTTACCAAAAAATTATAAATATAAAAACATTTAATAAAAAGGTAAGATTTGTTTTATAACTATCCCTGATTTTTGTAGCTGTTTTGTGTTCATAGATTTTTTTTTCTCTAAATTTCCAGTATATAAGAAATGGGTCTTTGTTTTCTTTCCTTACCTTTGTTTTTCCAAATGCATAGTCGGAAAAGCCAACATGTTGCAGAAGAGCAGAACAGTTTTCTACCCTTGCCTTTGGTGGCTTTACCCAGTTATCCATAAGGATGTAGTATCTGAAATTATACAGAAACACAACAAAAGCATTAAACTTAATCTTTTCTCCCCTTAATAGGGGATTGAATGAATCACATCTTACTGTATATTTCTTGAGTATAAGCTGATCCAAATATAAGCCAATGTAGAAACTAAGGCAGCTCATCAACACATTATGTTCAGATGTTTTTTTATGATGTTTTGATGTATTGATATCTAAAATGTTTTTAAATGTCATTTAAAGTATAGTTTTATTTTCACAACTATGTGGCACAGTAGATTCCTCCATATGACTAGCTGAGCACACACACAAAGTCAAGTGAGCCCTGACAAATGTTATTGGAGTCAGAATTGTCAGGTTATTTTTTAATGGCTGGAAGATAGTCTTTGAAGTCTTCAGTTCAAAGCAGCAATCAACTTAAGCAAAAGGGAAGAAAATAATAAAGAAATAAATGAAATTGGGAATGAAGTGGCATTTACTTGGAAACCTAATGTTTCTGCTGGTAACCCTACTTAATTGAGTTCTTGTTAGGGTTAGTCAAAAAGAGGAGAAGTCCATCTAGCCACTCACATTGGTAGCAGTTGCTTGGATGAAGTAAGAAGAAGAGTGGTAGGGACCTATGTGCCACCTATTTACTACCAGAAAGATTACTAGGTCTGACCAGGGAACCTAATTGAAATAAACACCAAATTATTGAGAAATGGATTGCTGTTTTCATTTCTTGATGTTGATTTCATCTTCTGTTTTCTTTTCCCATGAAAGTATTCAAGTCTTTCCCAGTCTTTGTACACACCAGTTCCAACAGAGGTGAAACACGTGGGGATTGATTTGTCCTGTCGGTGAAAGATAGCACTCCTCTTGCAGTCTATGTTCGCAACTAAATCTGATGTACAAGTTAGTCAACTTCGTCCAGCTTCTTAGTAATTTTGTTTTTATCCCTGTTGCTTTTAAATACTCTATATTTTAATACCACTGGTTTTGCTAAGAAAAGTGAAATACTGCATGAACCTGGACATAAATGCATGTAAAATATAATGCACTTTATACAGTTCTGTCTTAATAAATTACATTTTCCTTTAATTAAATCTGCAGTCTTTAAAGTTGAAATTATGGTCAGACTCATGATGAACAAATAATGCAAATGCCCAGACATTATGGTCAACCCAAAATGTACAAAATAGGCATTCCATCACATCTGGAATTGGAAAAATTTGAAAAAAAGTAAAGATTTTTGCAAAAGTTTCCCAGTTGCACTCTTTGTACAAAATATTTATTACTTAACAAAGATAAAAATTATATCTAAAAATATGTAAAAAAAAATTGTATGCCTTCTATTTTCTTTCATAACTTGACTTACCTCTCCAAGAATTCTCCAAATGGAATACGATGGGAATAACCTTCTTGACGGATGCGAGTTGTCTCCAAAACACCAGTGTACATCAGCTGTATTTTAACAATTGATCTATCAAATTGCCCTGGTACCTTCATATTATTTGGTTTGATACATCTGTAGATAAAAAAGCATAATTCAAGTCATTAGCATATAAATAAATGGTTATATTCAACAAATCCATCAAGACCTTTATAATTGGATATAATAATTAAAATATAGAAAGAATTTTCATTATAGAATTAATTTTTCATTTGTATTAATTTGAAAATAATATTTTCAATAATATTTTTTAGAAAAGCAGAATATCTTCTGATAAACCTGAAAAAATTTATATTTAATTTTCTCACTTAAAAAAACAAAAACATAATGGCAATATTAACCATTTCCTTATAAGGAAATATTTGGCATTCATTGACTGAGCAGCCAGTACTACCTTCAGTTGAAATTTATAAAATCTTTCTCTTAAAACAACTTTTTGGGAAACCAGTTTCACAAGTCCCCTAACTGTTATTGCTCTCTCCAGTATTGATGGGGGTTTCCTTCTTAATTTTTTCCTTGAAGTAGTGTGGAACATTAACATCTCAATTATAACATTATTTTCTCTTCAAGTTACATGTGAGATTTTTGAATTTGATTGATCTGTTTTCTGCAGGTTACTTAAAGAAATACATTTTGATGGACTTCATGGATGAGAGGCCTAAAGCATGCCAGATCTAATGATGGTTTCTCCTGCCCAAGGGGGATGCAGGTTTGAATCTTGCTGGAGTGTGCACATTTTTTTTTAATAAGATTTCTCAAATATTCATGCCAGTAGATAAAAATAAATAAATATACTGTTTAATAAATAAACAAAGTATTGACCCAAATATGGGTATCCACTAAATATAACGTTGAAGTAATAAAATGTATTGGATTAATAAATAAGAATCCCTCACTTCTTTTAGAAATTGCAATACAGTGAGTCCCTGCCTATTTGCATTTTAGCATTCATGGCTTCACACATTTGGGGATTTTTCTTTAGAACATAAGTACTTGTTATTCACGGAAACCCTGAATATTCGTGTTTTTCTGAAGAACATATGTACAAATTATTTGCTGAGAACTTGATTTGGGTATTTTTTTGATAGAACATAATTAAAATATTCTTGTATTATTTTCCTGTTATTTAAGTGACTTAAAACATATAACAGTCCATTTTTATGGTACAAATTTGCAGAATTGTACATCTTCATTGTAAAAAACAAACAAAAAACATGCATAGTGCTTGGGCTTTGTTCTTTTTTAGGGGCTACGGCTGGGGTCTTAAAGGTGGCTTATGATAAGTCTGGGGACATCATCACTGTTCTGTTTTTAGAAAATGTTTTAAACTTTATATTTTATGTCTTGTTACACATATTTTATAAGGTATTTTCAATGGTTGTATCAATCAATGCATAATTAAAAATGGTTATTGCATGTATGAAAGAAAATTTATGCTAAGTGCATGATCACCAATACTATTTTTCAAAAATGTTTTAAAAAGGGTCTGAAATGTTTCTAAAGTGTTTAGGATGAAAGTTGAAGGCATATGGCATTTTAACACTCAAAATAGGTACTTATAAGCACTTTTAGGTGGGTTACAATATTCATGGATTCTAACTATTTGCGATCAGTTCTGGTCCCTAACACCTGCAAATATAGGGGACTCACTGTATTTATTATATAAACTTTTTTGTCTGACTAGTGTTTGTCATTAGATAACATTTTGGGCAAGTTTTAACTCCTCGCATTCATCAAGTGAATTCTGTTTGTATGTTATCACTAGTTTGAGGATTATGTTAATAAACATTGAAATATTAATGACTATAACTATGATTCTTGTTTGTTAATAATTGAACAACTACATCAATATTTTTGTAATTATTCTCAAGTATCATAGAAAGTGAATTTATGATATCATATAGAACTAGAAATTGTTGATCTCTCAGAATTTGAGATCAAATATATCAGGAGTTTCCACTATTTAGTCAGTGTATCCAAGCATCAAGATTGTTATTCTCTCCTTTGGTGGCAGTGGCAGAGATGTCAGTGAAGGCCCGGCCTACTCCTGAAGAGTAGTTAAAAGAAAGTTTGACAAAGCCATCCACATGAATTTGATTTTAGTGGACAACTCTATGTGGTGGAAAAAGCCACACACTTGGCCAGAAATGCCTCCCTCATGGCTCAGAGGGGATTGAGACAGGCAAGATCTGGCAAACCTGTCAGATGCTTGGTGTGTCAAGATCTGGTTACATCAGCCCAACTGGCACTGCCTTCTTCTGACAGTTTAGTCATTGAGATTGTGTAGATCTTTGACTATTTCATTGTCTTTGGAGGTTGGTTATATTCAGTCTGGTCTCTCCTCATTGACCTTTTAAGATCAAGACTAAATGATAACCTCCAAAAGAATTTTTAAGAAGATTCTAGCAAAATACCACTGCGGCCAATCAGAACTTGGCATAAAAAATATATATTTTCTGACCAATCAAATTTTACTTTGTTTAGTCTTTTCTAAATCCATTGTATTCTTATATAAGTGATACTGAATTTAATAAGTATAGTAGTTCTTTTGAGAATAATTCAGACCCACACATCTCTAACAGTTTATATCTCACTAGGCTCTAGTATAGGTGTCTTCACCATGTTGTTTACTAAAATAGGCAAATCAATGAAATCATAAAATGAAAGATTAGTAATTGTAAAAAAAAATGAATAGTCACTAATCTGAGATATAACAAAATGAATAATTGCAACCTGAGATATAGAAAATTGAATGGTCACTAATCTGAGGTGTAGCAAAATGAATAATTGCAACCTGAGATATAGAAAATTGAATGGTCACTAATCTGAGGTGTAGCAAAATGAATAATTGCAACCTGAGATATAGAAAATTGAATGGTCACTAATCTGAGGTGTAGCAAAATGAACTGTTGCATATATGAGTAGTTCTTTTCCACTTGTCAACACCAATAAACCCACTTCAAAATGCCTTGGTGCTGTTAGTGTAGAAGAGAAAACATCTACACCAGACACACAGGTCATTTTTTTTGTGTTGGTCTGATTCTCTTCTATACTACTGTTGAACAAAAATAGAGATCAATAAAAGTACTTACCGGACAAAGTGAGGAGTGCCAGCTACCATTTTGGATAATAAATCCATAAGAGAATAGCGGAAGTATGAAGACACAGTTTGTTGAATGCGAGTCATACTGGTTGACCCTTGTCCATGGCCCATCTGTAAGAGACAATAAAACCAGATAAAAAATGTCTTTGAAATGATTTATCCAAGTTCTGTCACTTTTTGTCATCTAATCTTCTCAATGACCCATATAATGTAGAAATGTGAAAAATGACACCAAAATGGTTTTCGCAAATTCTCAATAGACTCTAAAAAATATGATACAAATTTTTTAGAATTGATTTTGATAATAAAAATTACAGCAGAAATATTGTTGCTGATTGGTAGATAGTCTGATTTAGTATTAATGGAATCCAGTTAATAAGTAAAAATGGAGTATTGATGGGTTGGAGATGATGGATAGTTTTTTTTTTCCACTCTGCGGTCTCTTTCTCACAGATGCAACATCGCATATCTATTGCTACTCTATTACTATTTCTAGGGCAAATGTTCAGATGAGTGCCACTCTTCAGCTCTATCAGTTCACATCTTTACTGCTAGGACATACCATGCTACCTCCACAGAGTCAAATCACCCTCATTTCTTCCATATTTCAAATGTAAGACGTTCTACTCCAACAACTTTTCCCAAGAACTACTACTTTGTGAAACAAAATCCCATGTGAATGCTTCCCTGAACACTACAATAACCTCTACAAGTCAAAGGCCAATTGTTATCTATCCTCCTCATACTCACAATCTTCACTTCCTACCACCTCCACTCATACTCATTTCATACAAATCATCATAACCATTTTAGCACTAACCCTCTACTTTGAGTGTCTCTGGAGTGGGGTGAACTTAAGTATAAAAAAAATTGAGAGAGTTGCTTTTTGATGTAATATTTATTGAATTAAGCCAACTTAGGCACAAGGTCATATTTACTGAGAATCCAATAAAAAATAAATGAATCTCAATGGTTTATGGGATTACCTCACTAACCAATGCAATATCCTTATGGTGTACCAGCATTGTATCACATTGGTTAAAAAAAACTTGTCTTACATGCTATTGATTAGAAATTTAATCTAAGCATGTACACATGATGTAACTCATTGTAGGGTCATTGGTATACCACATATATTGTGTAATAATACTTTTTGAAAACATATATCATTATATGAAAAAAAGCTTTTTATACTTCACATTTTTATTTAATATTACTAAAAATAATGACGGTGGAAATGCAGTTGTGACTTTCCACACATACTGAATGTCATAAAATGGAAAAAAAAAATGGTGCTAAAATTTTCTTAACCTAGATTTGACAACAATTTCCTTTTCTTTATTTCAAACGAAAATAGAAATATTTGTTCATTTAGATACAAAATAGTTTCAGAAAACAGCAAATAATTTCATTTTTCTATAATGAAAATTATTTTCTATATTTTAAGGTGAGAATTTTCTTTTAAAGTCGATCCTATTATTGTGGTAACTTAAATTTTTACATTTAAATATAACCATACTTTGGGAGATATTTACATTTTTCTAGATGATTTTGAAATCATGTTTTAAAAAATAAGAGACTGTTCTAAATTTATGAAATATTTTCATGATGTTTTCACAATTAAAACAAAAATAAAAAGGTCAAAATGAAGAGACCTGAAGTGAAAAATCAGCAAAAAATCGGTGCTCACACGTGCTAAGAAAACCATGCCAAAAGACTGAAGAAGTAGAAAAAAATGCAGAAAGAATTGATTGAAAGTTGGCAGTTGTCTCAAGATTTACTAAGCAGAGCTTAGAACACAAAACCAAATGATAGGAAATGATGTATGTAAGAATGATTGTGTAGCCACATGTGGATCTTTGATATTTAATGTTTAACTTGTGAAAATATACTGGCTGTTTTTTTTCTTATCACAGTTAATATAAAAAAGCAAAAAGTAAATAATATTTGAAACTATATTTTTTCATATTTAATGACAAAATGAAAAATAATTCAATGTAACATGTTTCAATCTTTAAAGGACTTCATCAGGCTAAAATAATGTTCTTATTGATGGAATTATATATATGTAGCTGGAGGGGAGAAATATAAATGAAAATCTTGGTTATAATTATGCACTGTGAGAAAGAACTGAAGATGTAGACATGCAAAATTTTTAATTTAAATTTAAAAAATTTCTGGCATCCAATGTTGGTTGGTTGTTTTTTATTTAGTCATGTATTAACAACCCCAAGGGTTATTGAATGCTGAAATCTAAATATTTTGTATGCAATAACCCATAGATGGGAGGAGATGAGGTGGATTCATAGTTTTTTTAAGGGTATTTGCATGTAAGTGAATGTAATGAACCCAACTGGAATTGGAACTTGGCTCTCCAATTAACAATTCTGAGCCATTATCTATTACACCACCTGCACATCCAAGCTTACAGCACCTGTTGTTCCCAAATTGTTCCCCATCTAGGTACTGACCAGGCTTGATGTTGCTTAACTTCAGTGATCGTACAGAAAACAGGTTTTCAACATGATATGGCCATAAGCCTTGCCATTCAATGTATCTAGACACAACAGCTCAGCTAATTTAATTCAGTTTCCCAATCCTTTTTTCTTTTTTTATCACTGTTGTTTTTAAATATGCTACACTATGATAACAGAAGATTTGTTAAGAAAGGTGAAATGCAAAAACATGGATATGAATCTATGGTGGAAGATTCATAAATCAGTGTCTTCATAATGACATCTTAGGTTTTTTTTTTTTAGAATTGTTATTAAGTCATAGTTTCGCAAGAAAGAGAAAGTAGACTGCATTCTTTTGTTGGCTGAGGTAAAATTTGTTGCTGATGTCCAAAAAATGTTTAAAACTCATTCCAATAAAGAAGCACCATACAGGTGTAGGGTTTTAGATATAACACTCCACCTAGTAAACAGATAAGTTAAGTAAGTTAATACTCTTTGTACAGTAGGGGCAACCAAGATGGATTAAGGCTTTTGCCACAGTTAGATATCAGTCTGGTCCAAAGAAGAGGTTAGAGCAGCATGTGTTACAATCAACGTCCAGACTCACACCATGGGGTACAAAGGTATTCATAGATGATAGTTAGCCACCTCACCTCAGCTCAAAAGGTAGTAATCTTTTAGAGTGCAAACCTCATTGACAGTAAGCACCATGTTTATATCATGTTATATTGTTGCTCTCATTGTTACATTTAATAAAAATGGTAAATGTAATTTGACACTCTTTTCATTTCACTTTTTAATACCATGTATTTATTCTTATTTGGGATCACTCTAAGCTAGGGTGCTGTTATAAAAGAACAACCCAATCCATATCCAAGTGAATGAAAAAGATTCAAGAAACAGATTCTGTCAATGATAAGCCATCGTCTGACAGGCCAAGTGGAAGTGAAGAGAGTTTTGTATCTGTAGAACAACATAATAAATTTAAAAAAATCTTTTTTTCTTATTCTTTTTAAAGGTTAATTCTATCATGTATAGTTATAAAACTAAGTATTTAAAATTGCACACAGACTTTATAAACTTCCTGTATTTTGATTGTTTTGCTATTTAGAAAGAAGAATAAATTGTTTTATGTTCTAATTATACAGGACATGAAATTTACTAATAAATATTTTGTAAATTACTTACTAGCTAGTACCATATTACAATTAGATTCTAATAAAGATATTAGATATGTTTACCTATCATCTGGTTCACGCTCTTTCCTTGTCTTTTGAACAAAAGTAGAGGTTTATCCCTTGTTTCCTGTTTAGGATTGGGTTTCTGGTTCCTTCTAAAGTCTACTTCAACTCTATAATTCTAACATCACCGCCTAAACTATGAAATTTTATTTACTATTTATTTACTTTTTTTTTCTTTTTTTTTTTTAAGTAGGAGCAGATAGGTTTGATATCATCTAGTTCAGATGCCTTCCTGGTATTTTCAATAGAAGTAGAGATTTATCCCTTGTTTCCTGTTTAGGATTGGGTTTCTGGTTCCTTTTAAAGTCTTTTCATTCTCTTTCACTCCCAGTAACCCCTGGTGTCTTAGTGGCATTATCACCTTGTGAATTGATAACAAAAAATAAAAAATTGAATAATTCCTGTGGGCTCTCATTAAGAGAATGAGCAATATGGCTGCAGTCAATAAAAATGTTAATATGTTCAATACCAAAATTAACATTTTATATATTTTTTCTTTTTTTTGATAGTTGTTTTGAATAAATTTGAGACAAATCTGATATTGTCAGTTTTTAAAAAGAGATTTCCATTGCAGTTGATGCAATAAAAGTTAACAAAATCTTAGACTTTTCAGATATTACTAAACACAAATGCCAACACTCTTGAAAAGAAAAAAAGATTTAAGAAAAAGCACACATGAAGAAAAACAATTAATGACTTTGGATCTAGAAAACTTAGATCTAAAATAAAGAAAATCAATATTAAATATCTACCTGCTATCATTTTTTTTGTGAAGTGAACACACTGTGCTGTGAGTTTTAAGCAAAACAGTGTAGATAAAAAATTTGATTAAATTTTCCACTGCTATTTGCTAGAAAACAATCTTCAAAAGATTATTCCATATTTTTTTTTGCTATTGTTAATTCAGTGGTTTCAATTATAAGAAGCTGAGCTACAAAAAAGTACTTACACCTTCAAACTGAAATATAAATGAAGAGCAGAAAGTTATAAAGATTTTTGAAACGAGAACAAATAAAGAAAACAAAGTACCGGAAACATCAACAAAGTACAAAGAATCCAACAGACTAAAACACATTTGGAGAGTATTTTTAAAACTTAGAAACATTATAAAAACAATTACTGTAGATTCAATTCTTTACATTTGTTTTATATATTATTATCTATATTTTAAATAAGGACAAGAATCTAACAGAATCTTAAATATATAAGACAATACAGAAAACTCTTATTTTGACATATCTTGTTGATCTAACAATGTCATCAGAAAAATGTTTTTTTTTTAACCAAATCTACATTAGTGAAACAACATGATTCCCATCAGTCATAGGAATGCTGATTTTTAAAAAAAATATTTCAACAGTATCATTTCTAAGATTAAATTTTTGGCAAATTTAGACCTTTGTACCCACCAAAAAAACAGAGTATCAAAAGAACAGTTTTTCCATTGACACCACTATTATTTTAACTACCTTCACTCCTTGACAATATTTATCATTTTAAAAAGCAATGATTAGAATTGGAATAAAACCTAAACATATGAAAGTGAATTTATACATTTTTTTTTGTTTTTGAGAATTGATAACAAAATAATAAACATTATTTATTAGAATATTGTAAATATAAAATTATTCTTGTAAATAAATACACTTTCATCATATGCTCAGGTTTTATTACAATTTTAATCATCACTTTTTAAAAGAATAAACATTGTCAAGGATTGAAGGTGGTTAAAATAATACCAGTGTCAATTGAAAAAACACCTTTTGATACTGTTTTTGTGGGCAAAATGGTCAAAGTTTGTTAATCTTTTTTTCACAATTTAAAAAAATGAAGATAATTCACTCAGATGAAGATGTATTGAAAATGCCATTATCTACTAACTTGCTGGTTAGTATACAACTAAGTTTCTACTGCCTATTTTTACTAAACTGGTGTTTAAACAATGTTGGATATGAAGAATCTTAAAATAAATGAATATATAAATAAAAACTGAATTCATCTTAGTAAAACCTAATATAAAAAAAAATGATAGTTAAAAAAATCGGTGTTCATATGACTAACTTGAATCACATCCTATCTCACAATGTAGATTTAATTAAGACGATAAAAAAAACATAATTGAGATTTTTTACTGCCTTAATTCAGTTTTGTATCTCTAATAAAATCTTCAATGTAAAATTTTTATTGAGAAATTATTAACAGTGCTGAAGCATTTTTTTGCAGAATAGAAACTTGTTTGTTACTTGGTGAGGCAAATTAACTGGTTCTGAGTAGGGAGATAACTTCCCAAAACAATAAGAAAATATATAAAAAAAAAAATTTTGATTTTTCATTTCCACAAATACAGAAGCAAAAGAAAGAAAGAAAGAAAGAAAGAAAGAAAGAAAGAAAGAAAGAGCAAATTTTAACAGGCCAGGCACAAAAAAAAAAAGAAGTTATGTCAAAAGGATGTTTTTTTCTTTGATACCACTTTTTCTTTATTACTGAATAATTTTTTTTTGTTTTAAAAATTTATTTTTAGAATTTTAATAAAACCATAACATATAAAACTAACATTTTTATACATTGTTTTCTCAAGAATTGACCACAAAAATGTTAAACACTATTTATTTATTCAACTGTTGATTTGCAAGATTATCAAATTTATAATCTTTAATTAACAATGTAAAGAGAGAGCTTGGAAAAAAGATTTATTTTCTCATTTATGTTTCTTTTGTTATGGGCATTGTTATATCTGAGATATAACAAGACTTTTACTCACAGACAGGGCAGAATGGAATGACTGAAAGTAAAGTATAAGGAGGAACAAAAAGAAAGATCTTACATATAATCTGTAGATACTCCTAACCTGGAGAAGTCATTTTTAAGATTCCATATTTAAACAGGCTGGATTCGTCTATGTCTCAAACAGAAATGGCACCATGTACCTGTAAGTTGCTGGGGGAGGCAGATTTAGCCTCAGCCTGTGCCAAAAGGCTCAGGCTAAAAGAAAGCAACCTTACTGTTTGGTTGCTGTGAATGAATTACAAAACAACTGCCACTTTGGGTCACTGTATGGCGTGACATCACGAAGCAGCCATTATGTGACCACATGACTTATCTCCACCAAAGGGAGATAAGCGCCTTCTCTATTCCTACAACAATAACTATATGAAAATTAAATTTTCGGATTTTGTTTTGCATTTTTTTTAAAAAGAATACCTACTATATAAATGTTTATGTTTTTGAAAAGGTATTTTTAGAATTTTAATAAAGCCCTAATGCATGAAACTGAGCTTATACATTTTTTTCTGCTTTAATTAACAATAACTACTCAGATCACTTCTTGCTTTAATTTTACAAGGTGGGGTGGGGGTCAGTTTGTTTTTATAGTTTCACATGTTATAGTTTTATTAAAATTATAATTCTGTTTTTCAGAACAATAAAAATTACTAAGGGAGTATACAATATTAGTGGTGTTAAGAAAAAAACACCTTTTTCAGGATATTTTTTTTGCCTGGTCTGAAGTTAAAAATTGCCAAAGAAAGAAAGAATTGATTTATTATGATGATTTTTACATGACCTCATATACTAGAAAAAAAATGAAAATGTTTTTTTATAATAGACTCAGGAAGGTAGAATAATCCATAGATGACTTACTATTTACTAATCTTAGCTTAGTTTTGGTGCAAGATCACAAACACAAAGCACCCAGTGAGGATCAAACTCACTACACTGTAGTAGTAATCTGCATAATCAGCTTGCTATCAGTTACATCATGATGAGCTGCTCATCTATTTATGTCTGTCATAAAGAAAATTAACTTTCCCAAACTATATTACAAAGATGGTCTCCTTAGACA